TATATACACACACAGAGCAAATATGTCTGCACCTTAAAGAGGTCACAAAGGACTGGATTTTGACCAAAAGGCTGCCAGCATTATGTCACGACATAAACGGTGCTCTCACTCTCTCATATATATATATATATATATATATATATATATATATATATATATATATATATATATATATTGATGCATGTTTCATTAAATAATATAGACAAGTTTTGTCTATTTTAAGTAAGTTCCTTTCATATAGTCTGATAAGCTTAATAACATTATCATTGAAAGACGAAAAGAAATCATCATATTGATACATGTTTTTAATCCTATCTAAGCTTTCGGCTTACATAAGCCATTATCAAAGATGACAATTACATTTCAATATATCAAACAATACACGGACAAAACAATATGAATATATTTTTTTCGTAAATTTAATTTCGCCGTTACACATTTGAACTAGTTTATCTACAACACTTGTATATCGTTATAATGGGGCCTCACATCAGTGAGTGGGGGGGGGGCGGTGTGGAACTGAAACTGTTGAGAGGAAGGCCCCGAAACGGTGCACATTCTCTCCTGGTGACCCCAGTTTAAATATAAAATCGAGAGGAACACATCAAAATTCAGTGAAGTCATATGCCGTAGAGAAGCTCGGTGGAAGTGTTATTGGCATGAGGAGCATTACACATTCAGCTCGCTTCAGGTGAGTTTCAATTACTTTCCAGTAATTGCCTTCTTCTATAGGTAATAATCCGTTGGTATATAATCCAAGTGAATCCTAATAATATGAAATATTAAAACTGATCCACAAAAAGAGCTCAATGAATTTATTATAACAGAGCCAATAATTTACATAGGATAGAAATAAAAAATGACCTCATTCAAATAGATATTTCGGACCACAAGACTTATTTATAGGTCTTGTCAACTCAGAGGTGTGAAGAAATAAAATGGGAGCTTAAAATTTAAACATTTAAAGAATAAAAGAAGAAGAGGAAGAAGTGAGAAAGAGGAAAAGAAGAATAAAAAGTATAGACATAAATTTAAATAATTGGGAGTTTATTTAACTTTATATCTGAATACGTAACTTGTAATTGGTTCCACAAACAGGGAAACGCCTGAATTAGCCAAAAACAATTATATAAACACAAAACGATATAACAACAGACAAAAGTACTCGAGAAAGAAAAAATTGGTAAAAAAATGAACTTTGGTTTCGGAAATCTGAAAAAGTTTATAAAAAATTGGAGAGACAGAACTTGTCGATATTATTCAACCAAACAGGTTTGAAATCGACATTAAAATATTTTTAATACTAATAGATAATGTTTCAGAAGCCTTTGAGTATTGGCGCAATTATAGTCAAGTGTATGACAGCTCAAGTTGATATCAGACACGCCTTAAAATATGTTTTTTTTTAATATAAATATGTTGCGTTATAAAGCTAAATTACCTTTTCGCAAAGAAAACAAAACTATGACTCATAAACAGAGGCGGTCTTAAATAATCACTTGATCGACATTCAAGTATCCGTCAGGATTTCTGTTATGTGGTCATTGAAATATTGATTTTGGGAAGTGGGTCGGGCGGAGTATTTTTCAGCTCTTTCTAGTACATAGTGAAGAAAGGATTTTAACGGCGTTATAATTGCAATGATTCTAATTTCTAATTGGATGTTAATTTTATGACATGTCACCCCGTGTTGTATTTTCAATGTCGAATCCTGTTTGACCACCTAGTGAGGATCAGAGTCACTATTTTATAGTAATGGCCAAGCAGAGAAAGTTCAAAACCAACACCGCAGATCGAAACGATTTGTAAATTGCCTGACGTAATAACGTTTTTAATGGCATATAAAACACATGATTATTCCCTCAAATAATAGCTAAATAATGTTTTGCAGGTCTTATTTAGAAAGTTGATGCGTTTGTTCGGATAATGTTTAACCAGATGTCGTATTTCTACCTCGCCTAATTCCAGAATAATGGATTATTAAATCCAAATGGGATTGTGAATGCCATCAGATATGTTCCTTTCATTGTTAAAAGAATTATTCGTCCTAGTATCCCCATTTTTATTGTTTTGATCAGGGTCTTTCTTAGTAATGTCTGAAGTTTTGGGACAAGTCATGTCATGAAGTAGCAGCTTCAAAATTGTCAGGCTTACGTTCAAACACAGGTTTTCATTCGAACACCAAAGTTAAGCAATGTTGAAACTGATCAGTGCCTAGATGGGTGACCGTTCGTGAAATCAATGCTCTAAGCTTAGAAGAGCGGCTGGTGTAATAGTTAAATGTTCGGAATGGAAAGTCATAGAGCCGAGTTCGAATTCCAGTCGGGTTTGTTATATTCACTTAAGTGCAAATACGCTTGGTTAAGCTATGAATTCACATTTTAAAATCCCAGCTATGGGTTAAATAGTATCAGAAAATCATTATTATCTTTTAAAAAATTACTACAATCCCAAAATTTTTGACTTGAAAAAGTAAAAAAAAGATTGATAATCCATAAAAAATCAATCAATAAAAAATCAATATGAGTAAAATATCTTACATACATTGATAAAAAACATCAGTTTTTCTTTTTTTCGCATTCGTAATCCTGGCTTTTAATACCGACAACTAGTTTCAGAGTGAAATACATTAACTACTTCAGTCGTTAATTATACGTTAGCGTGTTATGTATATCACAGAGTTACGGATGAATGCCTATGTCTAAGTCAAGAGATTAACTTTTAATATAGATTCATTCAGGTAAAGAAACATAAGCTATTACTTGTATGCGATTACATAGTTCTTCGGATCTAAACAACAATTTCGTTCTGCATTCATCTGTGAATTTTCAGGTGGCGCCTCAACCCTATTTTGGTACCAAAAAATCTGGAGGAGTGTAGGCAAAGTCAGTTATTGTTTCTACTGCTCTGTGGGGTATATATTTTTTTCAGCAACGAGTGTTTTTTAACATCGGGCCTTCTTCAAAATTGGCAGAGGCTTGACTGACTATAGCTTGCCAACGTGAGCGATTTCCGGCATACACTCATTTTGTTTGATGGAGATTTTTGCAGCATTTTCTTCTGGTCGGCCTCTGTGTCTTTTGCCCCATGCCAATTCTCTAAACAACAAGCATATAGGCACGCGGCTCTCCTTAATGCGGATAGCATGTCCCACCCACCGGTGGATATAATACTGTTGTTGCCAGCGCATTTCAGGATTTTTAAGCCACCTGATGTGATCATCTGCCTGGATTTCGAGATTTAACTTACAGGATACCAAAATATATACATGTTGACAGTTAAACTTCATCTGAGACAAAGTCACCAAAGAGAAATCGAACTTAATTACTATGAGATTAAACCGTAGTAGTGTAATTATATGAGTCTTTTTAATCATTTCACATTAAACAAAGCGAAAAAACCACCAAAACGCAGGGTGTTACTGAGTGTGTACTGAGAACATGTTACTGTGAAGAAAAGAACAGTAAACAAACAGGATTCCAGGAGACAGAAGATTGATGTTGCGTTTAAATTTTTGAAGATCGTGGCTGATAGTAAGGCCAGTAGCTGGAAAACAGTTCCACAGACGAGAGGTGCGAGAGAAGAAACTATTAAAATAGAACTTACGGTTATATATAACAATTTTATCCATAAAATGATGTGATTTAGTTGCCGATCTAGTGGTACATTTAAATCCATGTCGAGGTATAAAAGCGGAAAACTCATCTGAATAATTGTCATGAAAATATTTATAGAAAAGTCACAGGGAAGATGCACTACACCGGTGGAAGCAATTTTGCAAAGTGATTCGTTTTTTACGGCTTATCAACCCTTTGCAGGTTATTTAAAGCCAGAAAAAATATTTTTTAGATCGTAAGAATATTTTTTGGTGGGGCAGATAATAATGATTTAGTGATACAAGTCTTACTAATTAACCCCTAGCTGGGGTAATAAAAGGTGTATTCATTACCTTTCCTAAGGGTATTTGTACATAAGTAAATATCACGTATCCAACTAAAATTGGAACTCGGTTCCCCGATTAAAAATTCCGAGCCATTATCCATTACACCAACCGCATACCCAAGCTTCTACCTAGTATTTCCAAGCGGTCACCCATCTATATACTGACCAGTATCGACGTTGCTTAACTTTGAGTGTATGTACTGGAACTGGTCTTACGTGATATAGCCGTAAGCCCCCAATATCTAAAACTAATGCAGCACTAATACAGTTTTGTAACGTGTGCAACAAAACTACTTATTCAATGTCATAGAATCATATAGTTTAATTTTCCTGTCATTAGAATAAATAAAGCGTTGATGACAATGTAGCAGAATAGGTCGAGCGTTTAATTTATATTCAGGTATATGAAATGGACTGGTTTAGGTTTAGATGAGAGTGGCACAAGGTTAGAATTGTGGCGTAACCAATATACTTACCAATGTAGGGGAGATTATTGCTCTAAATGAAGCACCGAGATAATTATTAAGCTCACTCTAATACAAGAACATCATTTTAGAGCAGCCGATGAAATTCGAATGGTTTACTTGACAAGCTTGTTAACCATGGAATTTAGCGGAAAAACTGCTTTGTGAACCGGATGTATGCGTGTGCGGACATTTTTCTCCCAGGCGCGCAGATATTTGCGTTTTTGTGAAACTTGAAGTATCTTCCACTTTTCCACTATTATTTATAGAGAGAAAAAAATAGAACCAGAGAAAAGAGGATGAGTTTAGCTGAAAGAATCGAAATTTAGAGCCTGATAGGGGATGGTGTATATAAAAGAAATGCTTCCTGTCTCCCCTTAGCCAACACCTGCCTTCTCCTACTTAAGATAGCAGAAGCCCAATTCTATCCAAACGTCGAAAATAAGTTTGGATTATGGTGAAGGAGAACAACGGCAAAATCTCGTGGAAGAATTTGAAGAGAGCAGGGACAGTGAAAATAAAAGTAAACAAAACTTAATTTGGTCAACTATAAAATCAATGAAAGGACAGCGTCAGAAAGGAAGAGTGAAAAGTTTAGAGAAAGTAAGAGAGGAGAGAAATGAAGAGAAGAATAAGGAGAGGGAGAGAGAGGGAAATGAAGATTAAGGAGAGAGATGGTGAAATGCAGACGGAGTATGGTGAGAGAGAGTGAAGCGAAGAGTACGGAGAGGGGTGAAATGAAGAGTAAGTAAAAAGAGGGGTAGTGAAAAGAGAGAGAGAACGAGTGAAGTGAAGAGTAAATGAAGTGAAGATTAGAGACTGAAGTAAAGAGTGAGTGAATGAAGAGTGAGTGAGAGAAAGAAGTTGAGTGTGAGAGAAGTGAAGAGTAGGGAGGGAGTGAAGTGTAAGAGAATAAGGACAGAAAGAGTTAAGTGAAGAGTGAATGAATTGAAGAATAGAAGGGGACTAGAGTGAAAGTCAGTGAGTGAAGTGAAGAGTAAAGAGGGTGAAAGAGATTCAACTGAAGAGTAAGTGAGTGAAGAGTAAGGTGAGAAAGAGTTAAGTGAAGTGTGAATGAATTGAAGAATAGAGAGAGACTGTAGTGAAGAGTCAGTGAGTGAAGTGAAGAGTAAGGAGAAACAGTGAGGTGGAAATAAAGAGAGAAGTGAAGAGTAAGGAGAGAAAGAGAGAAGTAAAGAGTGAGTGAAGTGAAGAGTAAAGAGAGTAAAAAGAGACTAAAGTAAAGAGTAAGGAGAGAAGGTGAAGTGGAGAGTAAGGGGCGAGACAATAAAATCTAGCGAGAGAATGAAGAGGATGGGTGGGTGATTTTGGAGAAGTGGGGAAAGAGTGAATAAAGGGATAGGGGAGAGAGAGATAATGTAATGGTATGTAAACATAGAGATTGAAAGACTTGGTTAGAGAGAATAAAGGAGTGGGACACAGAAAGAAGAGAGAGAGAGAGGAAGCACAGAGAGCTCATCCCTGATATTCTTAAAAAAAAAAAATCAGGGATTGCCTATATACAGATGTTCGACTCTACGCGACCGAATTTCCTTCTTTTTTAAAATTTTATTTGAAAAAAAAAATTAATGCTAACATTGTTTTTTGAACTCCTCTCCGGCTGCCCCCGCGTGTCGTATTTTGGAACCTAAAAATTTGATATGTGTTGGGTGACATGCTACCCCCTCTGATATCTCTTCTCGGTTCTTGGCAAATTTCGGTATTCAATGGAAGGCCGAAGATTGAAACACCCGAATTATCTTGATAAAAATAAACCAAAACATGAAGAAATACCAACAGACAATAAAACACGACTAAAATTAACAACCTTTAAGAATTGTAAGTCTAATAATAAAAATTCATGATAATATTACTAAATTATTTCTGCCATCGAATTCAGTATATTTTGTGGTTGGAGCCCTCAGTTTGATTGGAAAAAGTTCTGATAAACTCCGTGAAAAGATCACTGGTAGCGTATGCCTTAAAGAAGTACAAAAAATTGTTCTCACGACTAAAGCTTACACCTTACAAAGGGCGTTATCTATGTAAAATATACGTGCTCTTCAGTAGTTCTATTCTTTTTTTTTCTTTTTTTTTTACAAAACTTTTCAGTTAAATGTCATGATGCCATTTCTGACTTCATGTCTCTGGTTGGGACCCGGAAGGAATGTGTATGTAACAGAAATCAAAGAAATAATAATAATAATAACAATAATAATAATAACAAAAACAACGGCCACGTGGCCGAGTTGTTAGAACGTTCGCTTTCTGACCCGGGTTCGAATCGTACTATGGTCGAGGTGTACATCGAGAAATTACCGAAAGTGTCTGAAAATAATACCACGTGTTTATCTGAGCGTTGTGATTGAAACTGAGAAGACAGAACTGTTCGGAAGCCGTTGTGTTGTGCTAGCACGAAGTTACAAGTCATCGTGACCGAGCATTTGAGGGTATTGACCTGGTTCCAGAAATTGATCAAGACAGATTATGCACTCTCATCAAGAAATTGTAACTAAGAACCACCCAACATAGTTGCAGTATGAACCATAGGAATGCTCTTTGGATTAAACAGGCGTCCGGAGTTGGATTTAGCTCACCGCCCTCGCAGACAAGTGTGCTCAAAAACGACTAGTCGATGATCAATAAATAATAATAATAATAATAATAATAATAATAATAATACCCTAATGTGACATCAAAAATGGCTGTCATGGCTTTTGATCATAACTGATTGAATTTGTTAACATGCACATGATTTGTCTTGGTGAATTAAGATCAGCTACAATAAATATCCCCTTTCAGGTCTATGTGATTGTTGTCTGACCATAAGCAATTAGGTATGTCCACTTGGGATTAATGCACTGTGCATCTCTGTTCATGAGCGGGAGTAGTTTGGAAGTATCATGGCCCGGTGTCTGTCGAAAAGGGTTTTATTTTTTCTTCAGATTGAGCAGATGAGTTTAATTGATGAGACAAACCAAGACGGCTGTAGATACCTTCAATTGGAAACAGTCTTGCAGACTGGGTTACCTGACCTGAAGGTATTTGTAAGTTGGCATTACATGCAAGCTTATGGCGCTGCTTTTATTAAAACCGGTCGCCATCACGTGCAAATTTGGCTGTGCTGCATGTGCCTGTTATACACCGCTCCTACCAAGCTGGGTGTCATGGTAGGTATATTGGGATTTGCATATTTGTTTTTTTATTTTTTTACAACAAGGTGCCCCCTTTACAGGGCGCGGGGTCCACTCGAGGTAGAGGGTTACGTTATGCAGCCATTTGTGTTTATAGGAGTGGAAGATAACGATTAACCCTAGCCTTGAACACGTTAAGATTGTAATGATCGGGGAAACATCTTGTTGAGTGTCAGTTCCACAGGGCAGTGTGGTTCGCGGGGAGAAACTGCTCGAGCGGAACTTACTTCTCACCGATGGACTATGGAAGGAATATGGGTTGTTTGCTACTATGTAAGTGGCATGGCGTGTTCTTGCCGTTGATTTTGAATTGGCGAGACCAAGGAATGTAGTTCTTCCGGGCACTTTCCGTGGAAGTAGCGCTAGGGCAGCGGCAGTGGGAGAGAGGTTGAAGAGTGGAGAATAGTTCGTCACCCACAGAGACTTAGAAACGTTTTTGGACTATCAAAGTTGGAGAGTGAGTTCTGGGCAGCTCCCGCCAAAATATGATAACAGTACTCCATTTTTGGCTTGATCTGGCTCTTGTAAAGACAGAGGATAACAGGAGAAGTCAGGTACTTATTGGAGCGGTACAGGAAGTCGACCATTTTACCTGTATTCTTAACAATCGATGGTATGTACGATCATTTCTCCAGCGTCATTTTGTTGATGTGTTGCTCTGTCATACAATAATAATAATGATAATTCATATACGCACTATTGTGATCATCTTTGTTGTTGTTATCACAACATTTCGGCGGAAACAACAATAAAGACGAGGACAATAGTCCTAATATAAATAGTGTAAGTAATGATAACTCCTCATCCAAGAAATTTAGACAGAAGTAATATTAATGATGTACAAAAGCAATACATAGACGAATGAACGAAAAAGCCAATTTTCAGTTGTTTGTTCATTTATTTTAATATCATAGGCGTCCTGATGGCTGAAGAAGAAAAAAAAACGTGGAGAAGAAAAAATGATTTAAAATCTTTAAGGAAAATTGTGTTATAATTTGTAAAATTCGCCCTGTTCTCTTGTCGGTGGCCGTTGAACAATGAGCGAATAAAGAGACACAAGAGACATGGTCGAATGGCAAAGCAAGACGGAAGATTTTAAAGTGTTGGTGGTTTGGGTTAGGGTGTAAGTAAGAAGACCTTCAAAAGGAAACAGACATGCGCAGAGGTGAGAATTCAAACGTTGAAAAAAGAGGCCGATTAGAAAAGACGGAGAGAGAGAGAGAGAGTGTCAGAAAAACGGAAATGCACAGAGAAAAAAAAGGCGGTAGACAGTGTAATTAAGTGAAAGAGAAGGATAAAGAGAGAGAGAGAGAAGGATAAAGAGAGAGAGAGAGAGAGAGAAGTAAAAAGTGACAGAGAAAGATAAAGGATAAAGGCAGCATCGCCGCGTGGAAGAGACGGAGAGAGAGTGACAAGGAGAAGGACGGAAAAAGAAAACGGGAACGACAGAAAAGGAGTGAGTGAGTCAGTGAGTGAGTGAGTGAGAGAGAGAGGGAGCAACAGAAACATAGAAAGAAAGACATAAATAAATTAACCAGAGAGAACGTGAGAGAATCACATTAAGAGAGAGTGACAAAGAGAAGGAGAAATCGAAATACCGGAAACAAAGATATATATCGAAAAAACAAGAACAAAATAATAATAATAATAATAATAAAACAAAAAACGATACGACAAACCAAAACATTCTTGAAGATGTTATGTCTGCATTCGCGAGATAAATTTAGATGTGCGATTCTTTCGCGCTTTCACAAAATGAGGGTGTGTCACAGAATTGGCGTTAAATGGAAAGAGAGACCGGAATTTGTTGCTGCTAATTTGAAATGCGCATAGTTTGGATTTTAATTATTGTGGGTCAAGGATTATGTCCCTTTGAGTAAGCCTCAAGTACCTACCTACCTACTTATAGAGCTTCGAGAAAATATGAACCTGTTGAACTTTAGGTAAATCGCTAAGAACATGTAACACAATTTTTTGTGTCGGTGTAACATTGTATTCCATGTTGTGTTGATTTTCGCACGAGTGCCCTTGCGGAAGTGTATATCTTCATCTTTTCACCCTCACCTATGACTTCTTAGTTTCTCAGCGCCGTGACGTGGCTTCCATTTTGTCTACAAATATATTTATGTCAGTTGTTCCCATGAGCTTTTATCCTCGGTGCATCGACTGCATGAATTTAAGCGTAATACTAGATTGGCAATTAGGTCTCAATGTTTTAGTACTCGACTAGCCAGATTTAACCGTAAGTTCTATTCTAATAGTTCATTTTCCGCACTTCTCGCTTGTGGAAGTCTCTTCCGGCTTCTTGCTTCCTGTCAACTACGATCTTCAAACTTTAAATGCAGTATCAATCGTTATCTAATGTCTTCCTGAAACATGGTCTTTTATTGTCCTTTCTCCTCACTAAAGCCTTCTCATTCTCTTTTATTCCCAGTAACCCCTTGTGTCTTAGTGCCATTATCGCCATCTTCTGTCTTCCTGAATCCTGTTCTTTTATTGTCTTTTCTCTTCACTAATGTTTTCTCGTCTTCTTTAAATCCTCAGTAACACCTTGCGTCTTAGTGGCTTTATTGCCTTACTTGGGGAGAAACTATTAAAAGACAAAAATGGATCTGAATTGATTGTTAATGTACTTGTTTTGTCTTTGGAAGTAATAGTTGACGGAGAAAACAGTGTTTGAATGAATATTTAGGTAAGCTATACACTCTCTAATCTGACGAGGGACTGGCATAAAAAAGTTGTTACTGACATAGGAATCTCTGACAGGGACCAATTCAATCTGAACATACTGAGAGAATTAAAACTATTGTATGAAGTAAAACTTAAAACACTAAATTTCTCTACATTCTAACCAAAATATTTTTCTTGTTATATTCAATCCGAACTGAAAAATTATATTTTGTTTACTAGTATTTACCCTATAGAAGGCCCAAGAGTCACTCGAGCTAGTGCAATACTGGAGCAGTTTATTGTGTGGTCGGTAAGATTAAAGGGTAAGGGACACAGTTTATAAGTTTGTGGGAATGGTAGCGGTTAACCGTAGACATGAGCAGATTATGAGTGTAGTGATCGGGAAAGCATCCTCTTGGGAGTCAGTGCCACAAAGTAGTGGTTCGTAGGAAGAAACTGTTCGATTGGATCTTGCTCCTTATTGATGGAATACGAAGAGAATGGGGGTAGTTCGCCTCGGTGTATGTGACGTGGCGGGTTTTAGCTGTGAGGATAAAAACTGGTGGAACGAATGAATATAGCTCATCTGACCATTCCAAAATCTGACCAAACGATC